CGAGATTTGCATGACGTCGTTATTTATTTCCCGAACGTTGGCAACATAGCATTGTCTGGCAGCTGTCTGGTCTCCACGCACGACTCCAACGCCATTACTTGTTGGAAACTTCATGGCTAGGTGAAAGGTAGACACAATTGCTTTGATCTTGTTCAGGAGTGGTCTTCCCAGAATAGCGTTATAGGCCATTGAGACACATACCACTTGAAAGGTTGTCATCTCCGTAACCTATTTCTAGCCAGAACCCAATGTTAGAGGAAGCTCGACGACACCTTCTGGAGTGATGACTCCTCCCCCAAACCCTTGGAAAGGAGTTTTAACCGCTTTGAGCTGCTGAGATGAGATTCCCATTTTGGCAAAAGCCTATTGTGAAAGTATATTGGCCGCACTCCCGTTGTCAACCAAGATTCTCTTTACTTCAAAATTGGCCACAATCGCTGAGATGACCAAGGCGTCATCATGTGGAAGTGATACACCTTCCAAGTCCCGGGTTCCAAAAGTAATATCCTCCAGCTTTCCATGAGGCATTCCAGCCAAGGCATATTGTCGGGCATATTGTTTTCTTCCACTATTGGAGTCTCCTCCCGAGGCAATACCTCCAATGATGATATTGATGGTTCCAGCAGTGGGTTGACTATCCCTTTTTGCCTCAGGGAATTTTTCCCTTCACGACCATTCCTCGACCGTTTGTCGTTACCGACGTAGGAACTCAAGAGTCCTCTTTTAATAAGGGCTTCAATCTCCCGTTGCAGGGCCTTATCGCGTCCAGTAGGACCTTGCTTACATAGTAGATAGGCTGTTGGGCTTTGTTAACCTCTTTCACCAAGACCCCGCTGACAGCGTTTTGAGATACGGCCAAGTAAAGAAATAAGGTGTAACCAGGCTCAGGCCTAGTGAGAATTGGGGGAGATGCCAATGTCTGCTTGAGCTCCTGGAAAGCTTTCTCACAGTCTTCACTCCAATCAAAGCCTTGGTTTCCTCTTAGGACTTTGAAGAAGGGATAGCACCTGTCTGATGCTCGGGACATGAACCTGTTCAAGGCTGCTATCCTACCAGTCAACCTCTGTACCTCTTTCTTGTTCCTTGGTGATTCCATAGATGCCAAGGCTTGTATTTTGTCAGG